TAACACTTATAACCGATTCCTAAAATTAAAAATTAATTAAGGGACAAACTTTAATTACATTTTAATCATATTCTCATTTTCACTAATTACATTTATATAGAAAATAATTAAGTGCATCTTCTTTAAAATCCGTAAACTCTTAAATTCTTTCATTACGTTAAAAATTATACTTGGGAATTATACATGGAAATGAGGACCCCTATTATATAGTACGAACCTTTCTATTTATAGCCAGTAGGGACAGATGTTCATTTGTATTGTATAGTCGCGACAATTTTAGCACCTGCTCCAGAGGAATTGCTCAATATTCTGCAACTGTAAGAGTGGTTGTGGTTCGCAATGTGTTTGCAGGAAATCGGGGTCCCTATGTTGGTTTAAGACAACTTTTAGGATGTCAAAATACAAGTTTACACGAGTTTATTGCTAGGTATCTCAAATGCCGAGATACTTACCTAATTTTGACTAAGATGACTGGACTAATAGTGTTACCCGCGTCAAACACAGATTTCATACATACTTGACTGCACGGATGGCGTAGTGATTCAAGCGGTCACCTCGCCGCTTCCTAATGAGCTGAGTGTGGTGGGTCGATCCCCACAGTGGCCCTACACTTTGTGTGATCCACAAATTGTTGTTCTGAGTCTGGGTGTACTTTGTGTCTGTTTCATGTATTTTTGTAAAGTCCTCCACGACACAGGTTTTAATCCTAGAGCGGGAGTTGTCTATTAAAAAAAAAACTTAATATTGTTATGATTACTGCTACATTTAGTTCGGTTGTAGTCTAATAGTAATTTTGGTTAATTACTTCCAAATTTACATTTGTTAATTGTGACTAAACTATGATTTGTGATGATTTAAAAAGTTAAACTACATCTAAAACGTAAAAGCTGCAATAAATACTAATAAGAGACTGATAGTCTAAAATAGCTAAGGGTCGGCTTTCAGCCTACTACGACACGGCTGAACTTTGATTTTTTACTTACAGCGACTATCATGAGGCCTCCACAAGACTACAATCCCTACTACTAGGCGATATCGAAGTTCTGTAGATAGACTGTTGTCGGACTTTTAGGGCTCCAACTCTCCTTGACGATTGCTACAAATGATCGTATGGCAACCGCGACCGACGAGGCTATGGCTTAACGTGTTTTCCGAGGCACGCAGGGGTCTCAATGTGTTAACAATGGTCACCCATCCATAGACTGGTCTGGCTACGATTGCTTAACTTTGCAATGTGCTAACCTACTCGGTTACTGCTTAGCCATGGTATCTATATCGCCCTCTATACTTCTAAGTATTTTTTAAAATGCTTGTGTGTCACTTAGTAACGTAATGGTATGCCTATTGTTTTGCAAGCAAAGGAAAATCTTAAAATTGATTTTGTATCTTCTTTTTTCTTTTGAATTATGTTTTTTTTTTCAGTATAATATTATTTTTGTTTTAGTTATAAACTAGAAGTGTTTAAAAAAAAAACATCCTGTTACTTGTGCATGGTAAATCGGAAATAGTATTTGTCACATAGGACTCATGTGTAAATCTTAAGATATATACTGTTGACAAAGTGGCTGAAGAGTTCCGCACATTTAGGGAACTCATATTCACAATGGTGGGGTTACTGCGGAGACAAATTGCAGAATGTTCTTTTATGGTTGAAACTAGACATCGCCGAAAGGCTTCCATAATATCAGGATTTCCCGAAACCACTAGTGAAGAGTGCATAAAATTAGTTCTTCGAGTTATAAACAACAGGCTGGCTATTGCGGACACCACTGCACAGTCAATTACAGCCTGTCTCAGACAGGGTAACCCCAGTAAGGAACGAAACCGGCCCATACTTGTACGTTTCTCCAAGGAGAGTACAAAAGCAAACTGAAGGGCTCCTCTATTATAAGCAATCTATGCTCAGCACCCGAAGACTGTATTAGCGGCCAAGTCGACTAGGGCATCTTCAGGCAGGCATCATCTCGTCTAAAGTAATGTCAATAATTATTTCAGCATGTTTACTTTTATGTACTTATCACCCACATTCTCAAACTTTCTTTTATCATACGTCACTTTAATCATCTTCGTTGTTTATAACACCTTTGATCTGTTTTGGTGTAACATATGTCACATTACCCTCGAGTTAATCACCTTTAAAAATATATGCATCTTGACTTGACTAATGATTAACAATAACACGTACTTTCCTTTTTTTAAAGTTCTATCATGTTGACATAACATAACTCTCACGTCACTCGACCACTAGTTGTGTTCCGAAACAGCAAAGATTGATGGGTGACGCTCTAAGTTTATGATTTTTGAGTCTATAGGGTCTGAGTATGCACATCACATAATCATGGGGGATTTTAATACTGATCTCCTTGATATCTATAACCCTCGGACCCGTAACCTGATAAAGTCTGCAAATTTTCATGGTTCTCCCCTCTGAGCCACACACCATAACAACTCTGGATATGATAATTGGTTAGACTTAATCCTTACCTCATCTCCTTCCCTTGTGTCCTCTCATGACCCATAAACTGCCCCTGGACTTTCTCATAACGATCTTATTTTACTGTCCTATATTCTAAAAACCCCCAGGCGCGAGTCGAAAGTGCTGTTTAAGCGTTGCTTTGCCCGAAAGAATATCTCAGAATTACGCGTAGATGCCACTGCGATCGATTGGGCGCCTATGGCAAGGTTCGAACATTTAATGACATTGTTCATAACTTATACGATAAACATGCACCGGTTAAGAAGGTCAAGATGAAACACGCGCCAGCACCTTGGTTGACCGAGGGTATACGTATAGCGATTCGTAAAGAACGATCGTTGTGAGACCAATTGGACCATCTACACAACTGCAAAAAACAGATGAAATCAAATGAGACGCAACGCCAAACGCCACCACATTCTGCTGAACATTTCTTCCTTCACGCCGGCCGGTATCTGTTTGTCCCTTAGGACTTTGGGTGCAGGTAAGGTTCAGCATCCTACTGCATCTATGACTATTGGCTTGGACTACATGAATCGTCATTTCATCACCCCTTGAACCAAAAGTCAAACTCTCGATTATGTTACTGGGTTTGCGTGGTGGTTACATCAAAGCCTTCTCGTTTTCTCCAATGGCCTCGGACGAAATCAAAAATACCATCCTAAAAAAACATCTAAGACTGAGGGCTGTGACGATTTAAGTCGCCATATCAGACCAACTTCTTTCTGCAATCTCCCATATAATCAACTTCACCTTTTACGCCTGACACTTCGCAGCCGCATGGCGCAGCGCATACGTTCGCCATCTTTCAAAGGTTCCTAATCCTGCCCTGCTGAGCTATTTCCAGCCTATATTAATTCTCCCTTTCCTATACAAAGTACAACACATCTTTAAGTTTATATACCAAAACACTATGCCTAAAATGACCAGCGATATTAGGAATGGTGTGTGTGTGTCTTAATCCTGATTGTCTTCTCCAACGCCTTTAACACGGTCAACCACGATATTCTTATATCTATCCTTACATGATCTCTACCGAAGCACTGGAATGGTTTTCATCTTATCTTCGTAGACGTCAGCAGTCAGTTCGCATTGATGAAGCATCATCAAGTTGGTGTGATCTTGGTGCTGGCGTTCCGCAAGGCGGCATTTTATCTCCTATCTTATTTTCAATGTTTATCAATCTCATTACTCGAGTTCCTAGGTGTGCATATCATTTGTATGCGGATGACTTTCAAATCTACGCACAGACCAGCCTCGACAATCTAGTAGAAGCAAATCAAAACATTAACAGTGATTTGGAGGTAATCCTGGTCTGAGCGTATCGGCGTAAGTGTGCTTCCCACCAAGTGGCAGTCCATATAGATATATTTTTAAATATGTATTTTTTTCTGCATAAAGTGTATGTTTAAAAATATTATTGATATGTTAATAAAATAAATAAAGAGAATAAAAATAATATTTATTTAGATAAGGACTAAAAAATGTTATAATAAATGGTTCTCTAATTTATTAACATTTGTTGTTTGCCGGAACTAGACTAAACCTGTATCTCGGGCGAAAAAGTACTTACAAGCTATTTTATCAATTTAAATCTACATAACTACAATTTAATAATAACATTTTAATAACCTACATAACCAATTAGCAGTACCAGAGATGAGTGGGCCAACTTTGTAAATAATTATATAACGTATTTTTACGGCTAACATAATTTAATTTATAAATACTTAGCTCTCTATTTAATCTATTATATAGAAACGGACCTAGAAAAGAATCTATTTGAATAAATGAACTTTGAGCCTGAAATCTGCTATGGATCGCAATTTGTTTAATACATATTATTATATCAATTTATGATCTCTAGATATTTTATGGTTACCTGAACTTGAGGTTTCCTGGACAGCAGGACAAATTAAACAAAGTCACTGGCAAGTTTTGGCCGGAGAGGGGTCATTAGTGTGCGTATTTGGAAATGTTAGTTACGGCGTATTGATTTTTGCATATGGGAAAGTTAATATATATAGTCTTGTCAGCATTTCATGTTAGAAGATTATATTCTTTAACCATGTATACGCAATATTCATGCTAAGCTGGACGCTCTCATATAATTAGTAGCTGGTTTCTAAAATTACGACCTTGTCATCAGCATATGATATTCTCTTTCCATGTCCTAAAGTGAGAATACATAGATCGTTAATATATACCAGTAAAAGCGTAGGACTAAGGATACTTCCCTGAGGAATGCCAAAACCTGGTATATTTTTCATCATCACTCTCGACATTTCCTATTTTAACACCTTGAATGGTAGATAGATGCTAACTCGCTTAGCAGAACATAATTTATAACTCTAAAACACAAACTACATTCGTACTGATCAGAAGCCAAAGATGAAGTGATCAGAAGGCTGTCGTCTATACCTTATAAATATTTTCAATCCACACTTATCATTTTCTGCTGATAAAATAAACCAAAGCTTTGGGACATTTAATATGTACAAAATAAAATCAAAAAGAATTAATTTTAAACAGAATATTTATTTTGCATCCATGTCAATACAACTCCAGTTAGCGCTGCCATACTCCCAACCTTTAATATACTTTGCAGCATCTGTAAAAATAGTAGGTCATAGTTACGAAAGTGTCAGAAGTAGTTACTTAAGCGCCATTTAAGTATAATAATGTATTTCAATTACCCGAAAACAAACACCGAATAATAGTGTTTATTATGTATGTGTGTGTATAATTATAGTAATGTTTATTTGGGGACTGTAAAAAGCAAATCATACGAGTTTACGCTGCGAATCTACGCATAATTAGAACACACGATTGATTATTATTATTTTCTGATTTTAATCCGATTTCAAACATTATTCACCTTGTCTTGCCAGCTACGATTCTTCACACACTGTTTATAAGGCATAGTTGTAAATGTAACGGAATTATAAAGAGGCACCCAGGTTCTTGGCAGGAGCCAGTTCATAAATTCATCGAATGCTTTCCTGAGGCGATAAGACGGACGTGTTACGAGGTCCCGCATCTGAAAATATACATCGTAAAGGGGAACAAATAATTCTTCGAATACATCGTTATAATAGTAGCCAGCAGTTCCAAAAATCTCCTATGAACTTAAATATTTCTAGAAACGTTTAATATTAGCATGATTAGTAAAACATATACGAGTATGTACATTTATACCGAAGTAAACACTCCAATTAACTACAAGATAATCTGACTCATATAGTATAAAATCCTTAATTAGCATATTAATATAAATAGAAAATTAACGAAACCATGAGTGTCTACATATACATAATTATAGGCTAAAAAGGGCCACTAAATTAAATAACAATTTTACACTTTCTCTCACCTCGATATAGTTATACATGGCCAAATCGCTAATCGCGTAGGTATCTTCCCACCGAGTGTTGGAGAACTCATTAAGAATATCCACAAGGTTATCGTTATGTTTTTGGAATAGCTCGTTGAGTAGTGTACAGTCCTCAAAGCCAGCATTCATGCCTTGTCCATAGAATGGTACCACAGCGTGGGCTGCGTCACCTATCAGTACTGCCTTATCTTCCACATGATAAGGTCGGCACTGTAATGGTTAAAAAATGAGTCAACTAAGCTTAAACAGCCAACACCAGATCAGAAATTAAAGATTTCCTTAAGTTGAACACGAATTTGCATGTAACAGGATAAACTGCTTTGTATCTATCATTGAACTTATATTACCTATAGGTTGAGTTATACGAAACATTGTAGACATTAGACAAAAACGAATTAACTGAACACTATAGAATTTCACCAAGTGACATACCTTAATAGCAACTAACGGTGAAGGAGACCCAGCAAAAAAGTCTTCAATAAGTTTTTTTTCTCCTATCAACGGGATGGAATCTGGGAAGTTTTTGTTAAAGAATCCTAAAAGCTTCTTTGGTGTATCTAAATTTTGAAAATTGGTAAATGGCATAAAAAGTGTAACGGTCCAGGAGCAATCCTGGTTGGGTAGTGCAATCATCATAAACTCGCCTCTGGGCCAAATGTGTAAGTAGTTCGCTGGCATCTGAAACTAAAAAAAAATATAAATGTGCATTGTTCTATCCAAAGTCTACTTTGCCAGTGAAGGTTTGAGGTTGAAGAAAATATTTTCCAATAAATTGAGACTCAAAATAATATATATTTACCTAATTTACTATAGTACAAAATAAAATACTAATATTCTTAAAGTACATAAGAGAAAAATTTTGTGCTAACAGTAATCACACAACCTGACAGTATGGGTATATCTTCATTTTGGCTAATTATTAGTAGATGTATATCCAGTTGTACGACGTGTGTTTGTTTACTAAATTAACAAGTAGTAGTACTTCAAGAATTGAAGAGAAGAAATACAACTGTTTCAGCCTTCGCAATAGCCTAAGTACCCGTTTTAAATAAACTCGACTAAATTCCAAGAAAACTCAAATTAGGATTCTATGATAAATCGAGTATAAAATATTAAAATACTATAATTTTGAAATACCAAGGTAATTTTTATTTAGGTATACTTAAGTGTAGTCAGAAACTATCCACATGATTCATATAAGTATGATTTCCTTTTAATTATAATTTTAACCCTTAAAGGGGCAATAAATTACTAATAATATGCGGTTAAGTAGTCATTTATCATATAAAATGGAACAGATATAATACCCAGAGTGGCATCTGGCAGCTTATATATAAGTTACCACAAACAACATAAGTGAGCAAATCATCATCACAATGTATTCCATATTGTTCGTTTTTTATTTAATAACATTTGTTGCCAGTAATGACAATATCATATTTAATTTAGTTAAAAATCAAAGTTATAATAGTAATGAATGTATGAACAATATTATAAAAAAGAACTTTCTTTGTGGCACACTTATAACTTTTGTAAATCCAAGTCAAAATGAAAATGAATTAATAAAATATGCTAATGCGGGAAATATCTGTCACAAAACCAATGTGCGATCATTTTACGCCAATGACACCAACTGGTACATTTGGACAAATGTGTACATTATAACAACCAAACATTTAATGGACCTGAGTTCTGGCTTGCGGATCTTGACAAGGGACGTGTTTTGGAACCCTAGAGCCAAATTTATCATACAAGTGGACTACTTAGAAACCGAGGAGGAAATCGAAACAATATTCAAACTATTTGCCGAGTACAACATTTATAAAGTAATACTTATACAGCTCGTAGAAAATGACGCATTGATATATACCTACTATCCCTTTAACAATTCAAATTGCGGCTACTATACCGATAAGATTGTTCTAGGTACTTGTAAAAATGAAGAAAATATTTACGAAATTCCTGATAATATTCCACGTAAACTCAATAATTGTACCATTACCGTAGTGGCTAATGACGACATGCCAAATTTTATTCCTAAATCAAGTAATTTCACTGTCTATGGAAAAGTTGTACCCGGTTTGGAGCAATTTGTGTTAGACACCATTGCAGCACGCGAAGGTTTTTCGATACAATACGAAGTGTTTAACCAAGATGAAGTAGTTTATGGAGTGGTCCTACAAAATAAAACTTCAACTGGACTTCTAAACTATCTTGATACCAATCGAGCAGACTTAGCAGGTGGCGGATATGCATTAACAAAAAACAGGGTGGAGATGTTCGATTACCTGTACGGCTTTCATTATACAGCGTACCATTTATTTACACCAACAATAAAAAGCTATGCATGGAACAGATTATACAAAGAATTCACCCCACGTATTTGGTTATTGATAGGATCCTCACTTATTTTGGTTATTGTAGTTTGCCTGATACTAAAAAGATTATTTAACGATAGTACAAGTTCTATTCTCAATTTATGGGGTTATTTTTTCGGAAACGCTAATGCAGGGTTGTCAAGAAACGTACATTTTCGAAATATAATATTTTGTTGGTCTTGGTTCACGTTCTGTATTACCAGCTTCTATAACACGGCTCTTTTTAGTTTAATAACTGTACATGTTCATGAAGGACCACAATCGATTAGCGCCAATAATTTGAAAACCCTACCATATAAGCCTTGTATTAGCGATAATACACGACTGTATTTTAAATTTGCTTTGGACCAAGATTTACCAGTTGGAGAACCCATTCATAACTGCACATTTACCGAGGGTGCCTTACGGTATGTTGCTAATACCAAAAGGTATTACGCCATCGAGACGGAACATAGTTACTCACTGAAAGAGTACGAATACTTAGATCAAGAAGGCAAACCTTATTTAGAACCATGGAGCTTTTCTAGCTATCACATAATGGTTATGTATGCAGATAGAGGTTTCCGTTACAAACAGATTTTTCAAAAATATGCAACTCGCATGTTTGAGAGCGGAATGATAAATCATCATTTGAAGACAATTCACATAAGAAGTTATAGCGTGATTAAAAGACATCCAAAGGCCTTTAAAGGTATAGATGTATTGAATCTTGGTTTACATTTTTGTATTCTTCTGTCCGGATACATTTTATCTTTCTTTTGTTTAATGCTAGAGATATGGTATCATCACATAACTCTTGAGAAAAACAGAGTGAATAAGTGAGACTTACGCTACCGTTTTCAGCGGCTGGTATGCAAAGTTCTATATAGCCGTGTTCAATATATTTTTGACTGTAGTCGAAGAGCGGTTGCTTCATCATTGCTTTACGAACTCCAGAGAAGGCGCCATCAGCACCTATAACTAGGTCTGCGCTAACTTGTATTTTTTCTGCAGTGTCTGTCCTGTTTAACAGATAACGTTTTATGTCATTAGTACGTAAGTATTCATTTAATAAAGACATATTTTTTTAAGTTTATTAACCTTTGGAAAGTTAAATTCCCTTTACTTAGGTATGTATCCACCAATTTGTGTTTGAAGTGCCGCTCGACATTAGTATATTTCTCGGACTCTGTAATAGCACAGAATAGAATAATAATTATAATACAATAAATTAATAATATGGAAATCCATTGTTTTCTTCATATAAATAGTGTAAATTTTGTGCCCATAAGGATATAGTCACAACTGAAACCATACATTTTGGCACAAGGTTGCCCCTTGTATTTTAATTAATGATATGCAGTTTGCTTTAAAAAGTGTTTTGATAGCTGTGAAAATTCCGGTGAAAGTCGTCGTGTTTTTCAGAAATAAAAATATGTTTTCTTTCTTTATTTCTATTTAAAAATTATTTCTTTAAAGGTGATGACGTGATATTTTTTTTAAAGGAAACCTGAGAAAAGTATGAAAAGATTTTGGGAAAAAGGATGTTCATCAATGCAACATTAGACGTATTTCATAGGTAAATAGCCAGTTATTGTTCGGCTGGCTAACTTGGAATATCTTAGGTATTAAAAACAAGTTACTACAACTATGTTGCCTTATAAATAAACTGCGTCGATAACATACCTACGTACTAAAGCACTAATAAAATATATTTTTTTACATTATATCATTAGACTATTGAAAAGAATTATTAAAATAACAGTAATTTTTGACAGTTAACATCATACCTATACTACATATTATATATGTTTTAACATACTGTATATATATTATATCATATAAATTAATTACATAAATAAATATTATAATATAAATAAATATATATTATATCATAAAAAATAATTATCGATAGCAAAAATGATCTCTTTATATATTTTTTTGTTTTCTTTTATTCATGAGAACTATCCTTCTACGTTATTTAACGGATATTACAACAAAGAAAATAACAAATGATTCAATAATGAAAAAAAACTAAAAAACTCGTATTTAATGGCAGACGTTTTACTAACAGACACGCCTAAGTCCTACGGTCATCCCTTTGGGTGCACTTCTCCACCAGACTCTTTTGGACTTATTTTGTTACTATAAACTTACCTTGTAAAAGGAGGCTGTTTAAATAATTCCGTCCCACGGAATAGATACACTAAAAAAGAAAAGTAAAAAAATAAATAAATTAAGTTTAATTTTTTTTTATGCCTGAACTACCTTTTTAAAAACTAGTTTTAAATATCTCATTCGTAGGTATTTATATAATATACAATACACATAGCAACACGTGGCTGCTCGATTGTTTATTGAAATAAATATAACTATATACAGACGTTACAAGTATTCATCATCATCATCAGCTTATCGCAGGCCACTGCTGGGCATAGGCCTCTCCCATTGCACGCCACTTCGATAGATTTTCGGCAAGTACAAGTATTACATAAAGTTTATTTATTAGTCTAATCAGTAACATCGGCGAAGCACGTATATGTACATACATTTTTGAAGAATGATTTGATAATTTCTATTAAATGTCTCATTTATATTAGAAATAAGTTTAAAAATTAAAATGAATTTATAAACAAAATTCGACTACCGGGTAGTCTAGAATAAGAATAAGTTAATAATTAAAAAAAAAAACTAAAACAAACCTGATTAGATAGCGCATCGTATGGTATGACGTAAGTTGATCCATCGAGTCTGTGGATTCTTCTTCCAGTCATGGGGATCCCATGTTTCTCTATTATATGTGCCTCTAGTCCTACATCCTTCAACGCACGTCTTCCTCGAACTGATAAGGCCAAGTTTATTGACCGCCCTCTCGCTTGAGGTGTGTTTCTGATGTCTATAGGTCATAATTTCGTTTTTGTTAGCTTTACTTGTAACTATGTAAATAACTGACTTTGATGAAGTGAGGCAGGTCTTGTTTTCGCACAATAATAATAAAGTCAACGAAAGTGTTCCCATAACTCAAACGACTAATAGCAAATATATATTGAGTGCTATCACAAGACTTTCAAGAAAAACAAACGTGAACGGTTGTCATCTTATACATTAAAATTCGAATAATAATCTGATGTTTATTAGATGTCTAATAAACATCAGATTATTATTCGTAAATTCGTAACATAATGGTATTAATACAATTATCACTAATGCCTTTTTCGGAAATTTAGCTGTGAGTTTCGATCCATATCAACCTTGAAAGTGCTTTACAATACCCTGGTGATAGGAACATTAGATTATCAATCTCCCTAGTTTCGAAATCACAGTTTGGTACTTGCAGTTACATGTCCTTATTATCTATAAGATACAATTATACCCTAGGCCTAAGACACATAAGTGTGAAATCATTTGAACAAGGTAGAAAAAATGAATTAATTAATTTATACAAACTCATACATAATTTGGCTAAAGTGCCCATTGCTCTCTGAAAATTACTTATATGCAGCATAGTTACTTTGGCAAAATCGAGTCTAAAACCGCACTCGGTTATACCACTTATATAAACCAGTTTATAGCCTAATACAACAAAAATGTACCTATGTAAAAACATCGATCTTTTCAAGTTTCGCAACTAGTTTCCGCAATATGGTTATGCGTTATGTCTATGTTCTGTTATCTATAACAGATGAAAATGTTTATGGTGTGCGTTACGCCAGCAAAATATCGTCTCCTTAAAAGGTTTGAATGATACAGATAATTCGAGCCCTATGTTGTTTAAATGTGCCTAACTTCTGTCAATTTGGGACCCCAACCGCTTTAACTGCTGCTGGAGTAACGCATTTTAAGATACATCATCTTATCTACAGCCTTTAAAAGTCCACTGTTGGACATGACCTATGTCCAACAGTGCTCGTTAGAAATGAAGTTTTGGTCTACTGCCTTGGCCTACTACACGCTGGTTAAAGATAGTTACTAATTACTAAATAATGTACTTAAGATACAACAGATTAAAATAATATTACCAAAATTATTAAGGTAGATAAGTAATATTCTTCATCACATTGTCTACATTTTACTGTCTCTATTACAATTAGATAAGGAAAATTAAAAAAAAATGCTATTGGCGCTAATTCTGTTGTTCGAAAACTCTAAACTAAACTAGAAATCACAAAAAAATTGTTTAGTCCTGTCAACTACTGTATTTTCAGAATACGAAACAACAGCACAGCGGCAACAAAATACGAAACAAAATTCGAATAACAGAATTAGCACCATTATCAATCAGGCCAATTTTAAGGTGTCAAGGGAGACAAGTTACGTCTACGGAGCAGCGAGAATGTATTATGCACCTATTATACAAAAATAGCTGCGACAAAAGTAATGTGTTAGCGACTAAAAGCTATTGAAATACATGGAAGTGAAGAACATCCTAACACAAGTCGATGTCACAGGTCAATAACACTCGTTTCACAAAAAAAATTAGAAACTTTCACTCATTGATTTATTCTACAACAGTAGTCATCTAAATCTAAATAATCTTAGGTTTTCGCTATTAATGAGATCCGAGAGCGTAAACGGGCCGATTCTCTAACTCTTTGCTGAACTTATTTGTTGGTGCTCTTTCTAGCACATTAGTTAATCCTTATATACATCACTTCATTTTACGTTTGCATTTAAAAAGAAAATTACTTACCTTCACGGTATTCGTAAAGTCTTACGCGATGTCCCCTTCTTGCCAAATATAATGCTTCCAGAGACCCGACCTATAAATTTTAAACAACTATTATCCTATACGGGTATAACACTTACTTCTTTACGGCTTGTTTTCTAACCACAATACTAGATGTTCCCTAATTAGTTAATATAGAGATTAACCGAACTCCAAAAAGACGAACTCTGCAGCTATTCTTAATCTAGATTTTTTACATTAATTCCCTGAAAACAAATCAATTATTCAAAAGAAATTAGCGTATTTGAGTATTGAGCTCTATACTTAGCTCTTAATTTTAACTCTGCTTTTTTATTTACTAATATGTCCATTAAGAAAAATGAGTATAAGAATTTCTGATGATTATCAAAAATACCTAATAATTTAAAGGTCAATGAATTGAAATGATTATAACTTAGTGGAATCTATTAAAATGATAACATCAAATAATATTAATGACATAATAGTTTACACATCTTACAAGATCGTCTGAGCCTACTATAGCCTACTGATAAATATACATATTAGGTCTTTACCTATGAAATTGCCGTTTTGTATGCAATAAGTGAAAGTACTTATTTTTTCAAACTTTTTTATTTCTGTTGATCGCCCATGCAATCGACGCATCTTTGCCAACGCATTGGCAGTTTATTGATGCAATACCGACTATTACTTTTTCCAAAATTTAGACAACTTTTTAGTGGGTAAAAAATTAAATTCCCGAGAGGCAGTACAAAATGCCTTTGAAGAGTTTGTTGCCTCCCGTCCAGCTGATTTTTACAAGAAGGGCATCAATAAAGATGCGTCGATTGCATGGGTGATTACTTCGAATAACAGAAATAAAAAAGTTTACAAAAAAAAAGTACTTTCAACACTTATTGCATACGAAACGGCAATTTCATAGGTAAAGACCTTACCTACCTACTTACTTAAAGAATTATATATATTTTTATTAATTTTCATGCGTATTATAGACAAATTACACAGAGACAGACAGAGACAGATGGGAATCGCATCCACAACCTCTTATTAGCAGTCCAGGATAGTGAACCGCTTGATCAACAAGCTACTCAAAAAGTATTATGTATCAACGTGTAAATGTAACATAAAAAAAACAAAGTACAACAAAAATTTAAGTAAAAAAGCAAGATAATAAAGCTAGCCTACCGTAACTAGTAACGATGAGATACCATGGCCGAAACGGGTTTCTTTTATCAACAATTCATTCTTTTCTCTAAATTTATTTAATAAAATAAAATTCAATTTAATCGACGTATTAGAGCAATTTAAGCCTAAACGAAATTGCGAGATCCATACTTTAAAATTATAAATGTTTAAAATCCCTTTTACATTTATATTATATATTTGTTTGGTAAGCTTTCTCACGCTTAACCACTAAGCCGATTTTAAAAACTATTTCGCCTATGGAAAGGTACATTACCAGCGAAAACCGACACACACAAATCTAGTCTTATATAAATTTGTTAATAATTAAGGAAAAAAATGACGATTGGAAACCCATTTTAAACGTTTAAGAAAGTAAAGAAAATGTCATATTATTATTATGCTAACCTACTAATATTTATATTTAATAACATATTTTATTACGCATTTTCTTATCAACACGTGTAATATCTTAATCGTAAATACATAATTACATGAATCTTTTTATCACTCTATTAATATTGTTTAATATTGTTACTGGCAGTTAGAATAATAACGGAAAGTATGTATGCATGTTTGTTTGCTTAATTACGCAAGAACGTCTGCGCGATCTAGAAAGCGATGAAAGGGCCTAGGCAATTTTTTTTTGTTTTTTTTTTAATTCTTTTGAAACTGTAAATGTGGAACAGTCATCATCATCATCAACAACAGCCTATAAGAGTCCACTGCTGGACATAGGCCTCTCCTTAGGGAGGTTGTGGCCTACTATACCACGCTGGCCAGACGGGTTGATATAGGGTTTGTTTTAACCTGGGTTATATTATTTTAATACTAATCTATACTAATATTATAATTGCGAAAGTGTGTTTGTCTGTCTGTTGCCTCTTCACGCTTAAACCTCTGAACCGTCACGGGAAAGGACATAGGATAGTTTTTATCACAGAAATCATCAAGGGAGGCGCTCGTGTATCACGAAGTGCCTATCTACCTGATAGTCGGGGCGTATTTGTCAGAGACAGCCGTCGTCTACCCAAGTAGGACCAGTCTCAGTAGACGTGAAATGTCGTGCGGTGTCCCACAGGGTCGGTATTAGAGCCAATCTTGTGGAACATGGGCTACGACTGGGTGCTTCGTGGTGCCTTCCTGCATGGTGTCACCGTCACGTGCTACGCGGACGATACGCTCGTGAGACGGCGTGCGGCAGAGCGCACCATGAGGCAACCCTGAGAGCCACGACCGGGGTTGCCCAAGTCCTGGAGCGGTTCCGGCGGCTGACTCTTGAGGTGGCTTGCATCGGCATCGAGCTCTCGATGAGGTATCTGGGGCTCGTACTTGATGGCCGATTTGACTTCGGATACCATTTTCGAGGTCTGGTCCCCAAGTTGGTTGGAGCAGCGCGTGCATTAGCGCGGCTGCTGCCCAACATGAGGATACCCGATGACTCCTGCAGGAGACTATAGGGTTGTGTTTTCTTTCATTTTCCAATCTTCCGCAACATAAATTACTATATTTGCGAGCCATAATCGATATATTGTTTAATATCTGAGATCCCAAACTAGCCAGAGCGCATAATAGGGTAACCAAACTGCTGATAAACATACTTATTTATTTGTCAATACATAAATATTACCTACAGATTATATTATAGATTAATCGGCATATTAAAGGTTAATTACACCCAAACACACAACAAATGATAGTGCTCATCACATGGCGCAATTTACACATTTTGCAATTTGACATGCTCTTATGGTATGTAAGTTAGTATTAGTATACAAACAACATAAAAATTGTTAAACTTGGAACTTTTCTCCCCACTTAGGAGCTGGAACTTTATATGAGACTTTAGCAAATTTTGATGGTCTGAAAATTGATCTAATAGGTACTTCTTGTTATACTTCAGTATTTGTAGTGAATTCCTCAATATCCTTTAATTAGCGAATGTAGAATAAAGCGCGCGCAAAACGCGTAATGCGTACCCGCCCGGCACGTGTTTGCCGTCCGAACAGAAACTATTATTTCCAATTACGCCCGACGTCATTGCGAGTGGACGTCTCGATTCGCTTTTTAATGCCATTTTATAAAAAAATATCCTAAAAAATGTCTTATTTAAAACGTAATGATGCAAAATTAATAAGGTGTAAATCTTTATAATAATATAAAACATATGTTTTTAAATTACTTAATAAATTACAGGTATTCATTAATCATAAAGGTACAAAATGCCGTAACTCATTGTATACTATAGCACTATTCTCTTATTATAAATGTACATGAACCTTTGTGGTGGGAGAAATAAATAATAATAATTATTAATCAGATTCATTTAATGACTAAGTATCGCCGTAACCTTCTAATTATTATAAAGAGTAAAGCAACAAAAAAAAGCAAAGGACGCTACCCTCAAATGGGCGTAAGGTAAATTCACTACATTAGTTCTTGTAATAACGATTGCCCAGATGAACTATAAGACTAATATGTCTATTTATTTTGATAAATTTGAGAAACGATAATGAGAAAATGATGTCAAGTTTACTCACTTAACCAACGGCAAAGTTTTTCAAATTATAAGTATTTTGTATCAATGGCAAAAAAAAACTACGGACCCTTTGGAGAAGACAAAGATTATTTATCTACTACCTATAAATAAATTATCTTTAAAACAGTCAACGGTCATGACCTGATTTATCAGCGCAGTTTGTAGCCCCAGCACTTAAACCGCTGGGGCTACAAACTTGAACTGTTGGCAGCTGATAGTTTACATTGTAAGCACCTACTAAGAAAGAATTGTTCAAAATTTCACCCCTAAAATAAGGGATGAACGGTATGAAAGTTTGGTATTTGCAAAGGTAGAAATACAAAATAAGAAATAATCACGCGAGCGAAGCCACGGGCAGCACCTAGTAGTCAATAATAGCACATAGGCTACTTTTCTTCAAAGAAAAATTGAATATTTGTCCTGGATATGTTTAACTTATCGTGTTACATCGCGAGTCCACCCCACGCTACACAACACTACACTACTCTCGCTATTTGAAAACCTACATCGCTTGACTGCACGAATGGCGTAGTGGTTTAAGCAGTCTCCTCGCCGTTTAATACTAATGTGGGTTCGATCCCCGCACGGAACAACACTTTATGTGATTAACAAATTGTTTTTCTGAGTCTGGGTGTTCTTTATAAGCTAGTCAACAAGTTCAAACAAAAAACTCCTAAAAATATCAGCGATGGCTAATTGGATTCGGAACGACGTCTAGAAAAATGTATCGTATCGTGCCTATGTAGCCTATTGTGTCCGTTTCGTGAATTTTTGTGAAGCCCCGCGACACATGATATAGTCCTAGTGCGGTAGAGGTCTTGGCTCGTGATCCGCATGAGGGCCTTTACGAAACGTCAGCCTTCGCGAAAGTGTAAGGCCAGGATAACGACTATTTTAATATTACAAACAAACACCAAACATCTTTCATACTTTAATAATAAGCTAATAAATTAGTTAAATAAAAATAAATAACTATGTTGAAAGTGTAATAAAGTAAAAAATAATATAGTATCAATAACTCTGTGTAAAGGAAGTCAGAAAATTTGCCCGATAACAACGTTATTTTAATTTTCTTACATATTCCAATTTCACAAAATTAAGTGAACATTTTTGACTCGTTTCGATCGACGGTTCACGATTTTAGTTTTTACAACCTATCAGTTGTAAAAACTGTTTAAACATGAAACTGAAAATACTTGTTTCGTACTAATAACAAATAGAACAATTTAATTCTTACCAATCCACCGCCAACGATAACAACATCTAATGGTTTCTTAGTCAATTCCGCCGAGTATCCATTTAATTTACCATTCATAACAGGTGCCATTGTTGAATTAATCACAAAACTTTTTTATTTCTCTTATGCTATTGTAGTTAATAGCTATAAGATATTTAGCTATTAGGTGAACAATTATGCAATGTTTCCGGCAAGCGATCTAAAACAAGACTGAGTGCTCTTGGCCAGCGAAGACTGTGTAGGTACCTACGCCACAATGCTTTGCTGTTATAAGGTTTCATTCAATTGACATTTCATCTGATTAATTTAAACTGGTTCAATAAATTTTTAGTACTTTGCCGAAAATAACTAAACTAGATGGAATTAATACCATAATTTCTTATTTGTAAAGTGCAAACATAATATGTTAATACTGTTTGGCATATTATGTTAAATAGAATTATGAAATTTATTTACTTAATCAGTTATAAACAGCGCACATGCACTCTTGTTTTCTGAATGAAATACGATAATAATATTTTAGTAAAATAATTGACGACAACACATCCATGGAAAAAGGAATCTTCTTCCAGAAGAGTTTTCATCGAAACGTTAACTTTTAGTCAAGAATAGGTTACCTTTTTACAATATTTATGAATTAGTCTTATAATACTAACTTATCTATACTAATATTATAAATACGAAAGTAACTCTGTCTGTCCGCTTGTGTGTCTGTTAGCTTTCACGCCTAAACCCCTAAACTAATTTCAATAAATTTTGCTAAGCTATGTATATGTAGCTATATAACACTGTTAAATTCAGTGCCGGATTAAGACAGCGCGGGGCCTGTAGCAAATTCTACCAAGGGCCCCTTGGGTTGTTTTAGGTTATCTAGTTTATGGTATTTATCATCATCCTCAACAGTCTATTGCTGGATATGGGCTTCTCCTTAGAAAGGAGATTTTTGTTTGCTATGCTGCGCTGGGCAGACGGGTTGGTTATACCAGTCTCAAATTTGAAACAAACCCTACTTGGGCTTGTTTTAAGTTTCAAGAAACAAACCCTATAGGTTTTGTTTCAATTTTGAGACGCCGGCCCATGTCATGTGGTGTTGAACAGGGCTCTGGTCTTGGGCCCTCCTGTGGAACATAGGGTACGACTAGGCCCTTCGAGGAGACTTCCCCTCCCCGGGCTGGGCGTAATCTGTTACGCCAACGACACTTTGGTTGTCTGTGGGTAGGAGGGGGACCTGGGGTGTCTCTTTGATGGTTGTCTTAAAGGTGGTCCTGGATAAGACGGAGGCCTCTTATTTCTTAGGCCTAGTTGTAGTCCACCCCTGGCGCCTCAATCTTGGTCATCTTGGTCAACGTACCGGTTCAGGCCCAGATGAAGGATATGGGCCTGATACCTGACGGGAGACGGCTCTTCGATGAGCACTCCCGACCGCTTACCCTAAAACTGGTCGGCACTGCGTCTGCTCTTAAGTGACTTTTGCCCAACCAGCATCGTTTCAAGACAGCTGTACACGGGGCTGTCCAGTCAATGGCACTGTACGGTATTAATATTATTCTGGGTTTGAATATTAAAAGCATGTTTACTCAGCCTAATACAAAAAAATGATTGCACGCCACTGTTAAAATAAGTCTGAGCTTATAAAACATATTTTATTATGGCGTCCTTAGAGGGCATTGGCAGTTAGAACCATGGTTATAGCACCGTGTCGACGCCTGGCCGGAACACTCTCGTGGGATTTGGGAAGAAAGTGCTCAGTCCCCACCCGAAGAGGAGCGCGAGGGGCGTAAAGCCTCTCGCCGAGCCACGATGGCTCGTTGGTCGGTCCAGTCTGGAGGCTCCACGAGCTCGCTTTGCCGCCGTAGAGGCACTCCAACCGGTCGTTGAGTTGAGGCCAATCGTTGAGTGAGCAAAGCGTCCAGAGCAGAGCAGGTTCTTTCTGGGTACGGCTGATTCTGCAATCGTTCGATAGGAGGGAATTGAATCCCGCCTGTCATCACTCCGATTGCAGTGAGGACGCGGCTCAGCACACGCAGGCAATTTGCTTGGGCGTCACACGTAGCGTTGGGTCGCAGTGTAAAACATAATTTTAGAAATGTACTAAAACTTTAAATTTTTTACTTAACACATCACACACACGGCTAACGGCATGGCAGCACGGCATGTTTCCTAACTAGGCAGAGCCTGTACTATTCTAACCAGACTGCTGATAAACATACTTATATATTTCTCAATATATACATATTATAGATAAATTACACCCAGACACAGAACAAATCATCGTGCTTATCACACAATTATTTGTCCTGGGTGGGAATCAAACCCACGACCTCTGGCTTAGCAGGCTCACTAACCCCTAAACCAGCAGGCCCGTCAAATTATAGTTTGACATTTAGATGCAACTCTTTCGTGATAAGAATTTTGGATTTATTGATTTAAAAAAATATTTTCACACTCCGATCGAAATACGAGTAAGTAGATACTTTTTTACGGTCAGAAAGAGCGGGGCCCCCAAATGCGCCGGGCCCGTATCATTTGCTACTCTTGCTACGTGGCTAATCCTCTACTGGTTACATTATTAGCTTTACCCACAATGGTAAAGCTGGTTTGTAACCGGTTGAGGAGAAGGAAAAAGTGATCATTGTACGAAACCAGTTTCGAACCAGGATTTTTTGTTGTATGTATGTAGTATGAAAAAATGGAAAAGTAGTTTGGAAAGATGGTAGTATGGTAGTTTGGAAATATGGTAGTATGTAAATATGGTAGTATGGTAGTTTGGAAATATGGTAGTATGTAAATATGGTAGTATGGAAGTTTTACCAAAAAGTGAAAGGTGCGCACGATAAGTTGCGAACGAAAGTCATACGAACACTATTTTCCTCCTTAAGAATCGATTTTCATATAAGGTATGAAAAAAATTTAAAGAGTAAAATTTTGTGATCGAATGACTTCATTACGTTTTTTGTGCGTAACTTATCGTGCGCACCTTTCACTTTTCAAATCAAAGACCCACTTTCGAAATGGCGCTGTAAACAGCGTTGGTTCTTTGGTTTGAAGTCAACAATTCGCTTTTAAATGAACAAAAAAATTAAGTGTATACATTATGTCCGTTTGGATTGAGGAGCCACTCTTCACATCGTAATGAAATTAATATATTATTTAATAGTCATTTAAAAAAATCCACGATCCTCGATTTTGTAGTATAATACTTTTCAAGTTATATGAACATAAAGGTGGCTCCTCAATCTAAATGTTTGGATTGAGAAGCCACGTCGGAACTAGGAACATAGCGGATGTATATTTATGATAATTTAGTATGATTTTGTAGTATTTGACATTAGTTAGTAGACAAAATCTGAGCTCGGTAATGTTAAAATTAAAAAGGTTACTATACATTATTTAAGTGGCTCCTCAGACCATACATGCGACTGTCATTTTTTAAAAGAAGCAGTTTTTCAATTGATGCGCAATTTCTTCATCATTTAGTAGTAAGTATGTTTTTGTACTGTAAAAATCAGTAATTAAAAATGAGTGAATAAGGAGATATGGCACATTTTAACTGGCTCCTCAGTTTAGATGCTTCGGTAAATAGATTTCACTTAAATATACTTATAGTAGGATCTACTTGTGAGGAAATTTGGAACATACTACATCAATATTTAGTATAAATTTATACTAAATGTTCCTGTCATAAAAAAGTACAGTATCTACGAAGTTATTAGCTATTCTTTAATTTCCTAACAATTTTTTTTGTATGGTGTCCATGAATAACTTATATAAAAGGTATTTTTTGTTTCGTAAAAACAAATCTGTTTAATTTTATCTAATTACTGTATGGGGTCATTCTAAATTAATTTCGTTACCTATCTAGTTACTCTCAATCATATTATTTTTAGAAAATTGATCTTCATTAACGGTGAAATTGACTTGTTTGCACATATTAGCTTACTGACGTTTCAGAAACAAATATTTTTTAAGTACTTGTCCGAATCAACACTTTTAATTTTAATATTTTTTCACTAATAATTCGACAACACCCAAAATGCTATTTTGTACATTCAGATAATAAACATGGTTTTCGCGGTCGCCACGCCGCTTCTTACTACGCCGAGTGTTGTGGGTTCAAACCCCACATGGGACGACACTTTGTGTGATCCACAAATTATTGTTCTGAGTCTGGGTGTTCTTTGTGTCCGTTTCATGTATGTTTGTAGTCCCCCGAGACACAGGATATATATATTCCTAAAGCGGTAGTTGTCTTTAAAAAAAAAAAAAGTATAAAATGAAGTCACTTTTTTTCTTATAGGTACGTTTAGATCTTTCAAACTACGCAAAAGATTTTAATGTGGTTTTCCCCTATAGAGAGAGTGATTCAAGAGGCGGGCTTATATCCATACAACAGAAGAGGAAATCCGAGAATTCGTGAAAAACATGTTTTTGTGCGCTTACATTGCAAACGCTGGCTAAACCTTAAGAGATAGATCAAAATAAAGTATTATGGAATTGTATATCTTAAAAAGATCTACAAAAAAGGTCAAGATGTTATATGTCTATCTCCTAAGGATAACCCACAGTAACCTTTTTTATCTTTTATATTTTAGAAAAAAAATATTGGGTAATTAACTCATTTATTTTGAACAATACAGTATTATACCTTATCTAAATCAACACGTTAGGTATGTTGTGTATTAAACGTAAATTAAAATTTACAGCATATCAATAAAATGAATGAATTCTCATTTTTTTAGGGTTCCTAGGTACCTCAAAAGGTAAAAAAGGAACCCTTATAAGATGCACTCTCTTGTCCGTCTGTCCGTCCGTCCGTCTGTCCGTCTGTCCGTGTGACACCATCGATTTTCTCAGGAACGGATGAACCTAGCAAGTTGAAATTTATACCAAATACTAAGGTCTATAGTCTATATAAGATGAAAAAATCAAGGTCCTGAGTCAACACGATAAAAAGATATGGACAAATTTAGGTTTTCGTGAAATCTTCTAAGTACAAAAATGTATCTAAATTTTTAACTTTTTTTTAAATTTCGGAATTTTTCCTTTACTTGTGTAGTAAGACCTTGCTTTTCACCAAAATTGACGATTCT